TTTTCTGACTAATCGTTTTTTTTTAATGTAATCAGAATATAAGCTGAAAGATATTAAAGATCAGCTTTTGTATGCATGTCCATTTTAGATGCAAACTGCTGGCAGTGCTTTTGATGTCACTTAGGGTTCTTTCTAGCTTGTGTCTCTTTCACATATGTGTTTGATATTGGTTGGTTTTAGATAATTAACTTAAATAGATCTTATGATTAATGAATTGCATTAATTGCATGTGTGGTGGCCTGTAATGAGTTATGACAACTACTCTGTATTTTGTTCCTTTATTCTGAAGCTTGGTTTTAATTTAGTGGTAGGGGGTATTTGATTTGTTATTTTAAAGATCTTTGCCTCCACATTTTTGTATAGGGAAGTTGTAATAGGTCTTCTGAAATATAAACCTGATAGAAACTAGTTGTTCCCAAATTGTACATTGTGATATATCAATTAAAGCATTTAGTTATTAGAATTTAATCAGGACCGCCATAAATCAATAATATTAGTTAAAGCACGTGCATAAAGAACCGGTTCTAACATGAGTTAGTATTAAACGAACGAAGTCCATTTTCGATGCAAATTGATGGCGATGCTTATGCTGTCATTTATGATTCTTTCTAGCTCGTATCTCTTTCACATATGTGTTTGTTGTTGGTTGGTTTCAGATAATTAGCTAGAATAGGTCTTATGATTAATGAATTGTGATATATCAATTAAAGTATGCAGTTATTACAATTTAATCAGGACCGCCATAGATCAATAATATTAGTTAAAACACGTGCATAACGTATATAATGAAGCTAAGCTTATGTTTTGTGTTTGGTTTGCATCTACCATGTTTTCCATATTTTAAACCAATTCTAACGAAGAAATGTATACAATGGAGCTAAGCTTATGTTCTGTGAAGTGTAACGGTGTCTAATGCTCAGGTGGGGATGCACAACAGACGGCCGTAGTAAGCGATGATCGGAGTGATTCTGACGAGGACTTCTATACCCCGCCACGCCGCCTTGACGATATGGAGTATGAAGGGTCTCCGCGTGCTGATCATGGACGCGAGGACTGCCTGTTCCCCCTTATTAATACGAGGGGGATGCCCAAGGAGCTCGCCCGGGTAGTCGAATCACTAACACCACGTCAGAGGCGTGGTGTCAGTAGCATTGGCATGGGGAGTCTTCTAGGGTTGCGCATCAAGGAGTTGCCACTACGCCTTGGCTATTGGTTAGTGTCTTGCTTTGACCCCTCGAAGATGGAATTGGATTTGGGCAACGGAAGAATCATCAAAATAACCAAGGAGGATGTTGCAGCTGTGTTGGGGCTCCCGAATGGTATAATCCCGATTACAGAGCGCGATCCCCAGGTTGTAGGGCGCGACCTGCGAGAATGGAGGACTAAGGTAAAGCAAAAAAAAAAGGGAGGGTCACGATCAAGGCTCTGAGCACACTACTTTTAGGGCTCAAAGATGGGGGGGTTTGGTTTAAACGGCATTTTAGTGTCGTTGTTGTAAGCACGCTTATTGCAAGCACGCCCAATGGGTATGCGAACCAGAAGATTGTGCACATGTTTAGCGATGTTACCAAGATCGGTGAACTGGATTGGTGTGGATATCTCTTGCACTCCTTGGTTAGTACCTTTGGTAGGTGGACCGAGAACACCAACCGCAAATTTACGGGACCACTGCTCTTTCTAATTGTAAGGCCTTGTTTTAAAATGCATGCTTGAATGTCCTTATGAATTATCTTGTCCTAATTTGTGGGTATTCTTCTTGGTGCAGCTGCTATATGTTGATAGGGTGGTGGTGGGTGCGCGAGATGTCCCGAGGTCAATCCCAGTGTTGGACGGGTGGACCACAGAGTTGATTAAAGCACGGGAGTGTCGAGAGGTTACAACAAGGGGTTTTGGCAACGGTTTGGTGGATGCACATCCCAGTGCATCTGGCCATCCTAATACTACGGAATCACCGATGCCAATGTCACCGGCAGTCCAACCTGAAGAACAACGAAACACGGGGATACAGGCAGTGACCCATGTGGCCGCCTCTGCGAACAACACGGTATGTCAGTTATATCCTCGCCCTCAGTGTCCGTTATCCTCGTAAACATTGACTTTATAGGGTGAAAACAACTTTGGTGTAGGGCTTGCACGAGGAGTTTGCAACCATGTCTGGGAACCTCCTTTCAGTTGCTTCATGGGTTGCTGATACGGTACGGCAACACCCCAGTCTAGCTCGTGACCACCCTGATTTCGATCGGGTTGCCGCTGCAGCGAAGTTGTTGCTAGGTTTAATTGAAGGACCTGCAGCTGTAGAGGTACAACAACTACCCGCCCCGACGCCAGATCTCCACGACGACCCTATGTGGCATGACCCAGGATTCTTAAAGGAATTGGACCGACTGGAGGCGGATGGACTGGACGCTATCGGGGGCGTTGATGCTCCTAGTTTTAGCCTTGGGATCACACAGGACTTGGCAACGAAGAGCCTAGAGCGAAACCAGGCTTTACTGTTGGATGTGGCCACACCATCGCTACAGGTTTGTGTGTAAATAACCTCATTTAGCCGCACTGTTATGATAACTTACGTGTATGATGAATATTGGTGCTAGGTTCCTTTTCAGGGGCAGCAGATTGGGGCCGTACAGCAGCCCTCTCCTCAAATTGTAGGTCCAGAGAGGCGGGATGGGGCACATCGCAAAGGTAAGTGGCCAGTCGTCCAGGAAGAATATCCTTTCGGCATCTTTTCTGGCTCCACGTTGGGGTACCCTGCCATTCCTCTACCACCTGTGCACGTCGTCTGGTTGTGGCTGTTCAGCTGCCCACATGGTGACCGGTAAGTGGGGTTTTCGAGTGTAAATAATGTTTTTAGCATGCTATTTGTTTGGTAGGGCAGGCCTTGCGGAGTTCCCCTTGCATGGTGAAACAACTTATAAAGTATAGTAATATGTTTTTTCTATGGTGACGGTGAATTTAAAATTGCTAGAATAGGTGGTGCACTGGTTTGGGCATCTCAGAGTACTGGTGGTGCATTCCCCTTGCATGGTGGTGCATCTGACTGGTGCATTAAGACTCAGTGGTAAAAAAGGGGACCCTATTATAGTGTTTTACATCTGTGGATAGTAGCTGCAGTGAGGGTGGGTTGATGGACCACTATACCTAATTAGAAGACAATTTCTTGCTTTCTCTCTAACGTAATCATTTTTGTTAAATGTTTTAGGAATGCGGTGTTGTTCCAGCATGTCAAGCGCAAAGTCAAATGGGCAGATTTTAGAACTTTAATGGGGAGGACGCATGTTGCAAAGACTGTGGTGGATGCATGGTGCAGCGTCCTCAATTCCAGGGAAAAAAACAGGGTGGGAGGGGTACCTTCTAGGATCTTTTTCTCAACCGGTGCCACGGTGCGTATCTAAAACCCAACCACATGTTCCCACCATTAATTCTCGGTGCTAAACTTATTTGGCATGCAGATTGGCACTGTAGTGGGCATTTCATCCAGCCAAGATGAGAGGCTTTCGTGGTTCAAAAACCGGCTAGATGCGGAACTGAATACTACAGACCATGTAGGGATAGCGACTATAGATATGGTAATCATACTTATACTTTGAAATAATTAAAACTGACGCTCTAGACTACGACGTGATACTTAACTAATACACAAATATGGCTGCTGTCCAGTTTATTTTCCCGATATTGCAAGGGGGCCGGTACTACATGATGAGCATCAATTTCGAGCGTTATAGGTTTGATATTATTGACAGCTCATCTGCAAACAAAACGACCAAAGAGATGTACAACGGTGCACCGCAGGAGTTGGTATGTGTCTGTTGTAACATACATCTGATGATTGTGTCTGCTAATTGTTACATTATATTCACAGACCACATCCCTTTGGTGCAGATTGACTTACTAAGCGTGTACTTGGATAGCAAAGGTCAAACGCTACGTGCATTTCGGCTTGCAAGCATGAAACCTAAAAGGATGCAGATGCCATGGAGAGACACGACGTCCACCCTCGATTCAGCGGTGTTTACGATGCAGCACATGGAGTCATACACCGGTCAAAGTTGCACAAATTGGGATTGTGGGCTGCAGAGAGGGAACACCCAACAACTACTCAATCTACGGAAACGTTACTTGCACAACATCTTGTTTAGTGAGGTCAATGAACACACGGGGAATATTGCCACTCGCATCGGCCAATACAATATTCAAAGGTCGGGTCAACACCAACAATGATAGCTGCTAATGGCTAGGTCGTTTGGTAATAGTACATGTGATTTTATTGCAGAGGTAGTGAAATTTGTTTTGGATAGTATTTAGCTATGGCCCTTTTAATTATTGCGACATATTAGAACTTGTGAATTACAGGCACAAGTGCCAAGTTTTATGAATATTTTCTATTTGTTATATTATACATATCTTCAACATTTTTGTATTCACGGGCTACTGTAGCACTGGTTTCTAATAAAGGTTCATTTCAGAGTAATAGCATTTGTATAGTTGGTTGTTTCGTTGTCTGTGTATTTTTTTTGTTTAGTTTCTCTGCCGATTTTAAAAGATTTACGCCCTTGATGTGCGTAGTTCAAGTTTCTTATTCGTGTGCAATTTCCAGCTACCAAACTTACACAAAAATCAGACTAATCTTGTCTCACCACACAAGGCATAATGTTTCGTTTCCCAAACTGAAAACTTCCCCCTGGCAATCCAGTCCTTCACTAAATAGGTTCAGCCTGGAATTCGTGTGCAAGGATGAGTAACAGTAGCAGCGATTCTAGAAATTTAGATAGACCACAGTGCACCCTAGGTTGGGAGAAATTACCAATGCATTATTCCATGATATTTTATGTAGCTTACTGGTTGGTAGAAATTAACAATTGAATACATCAACCATACAACGGAATATAAGTATATAAAAATTGCTGCCATTCATTTAGAAAGTGCAGGAAAAGCAACATGGAAGACATGCACATAGTAAGTGTAAATTAACGTATGCTATGGAATACAACAAAATAGAACTAAACTGCCCGTTGCTTGGAAGGACAACTACGTGCGTTGTGACGGGCGTATTCACCGCACACCCCACACTTTCGACCGGCTTTGCCGCTATTCTCTATGGCTATCTCCCGGGTGCTCTTAATACGCTTCCCACTCCCTATGTTCTTAGCTTGTGCCGGGGGTTTAATGGTTATACATGGGGGTGGCTTGACCCCACATAATGCCTCGATCGCGGCTCTGTTGCCCTTTGCTTCGCAAATGATCGTGCCGTCACTCGCGAATTCATATCTCAACTCTTTCAGTACCTCTACCATCCGTGCCTGACGGACCATGCTCTCACCAACCATCCCAACACATGTTTGTATCTCAGACCACAGTTCTGAGGCACCTGATTTTGGGGGGTCACCATCAGAACGCCGCCCTCTGCATGCACCGCAACCTAGGTGTTTGCGCCAACGTTCCACAACGTACTGGGATGGTAATTGCTCTATATGTGCAGACTTGAACACTAGGAACATATGTCTGCAAATTAGACCCAGTCGTTGGAACATCTTGCAGCTGCAAAAAGCAATACACCCGCTCGGTTTGTATTGTACAGTGTGCGTGGTGGTGCAATCTCCTCCGATGTTGTAATAAATGGTTCCCCCATCTTCACGGATGCCCACAACTTCGCAATAAAAGCAGGCAGCTTCAATCTCTTTCTGCAAAGCATAAAAAATAGTTAGTGTGAACAAATCTGCAGCGTGCCGCTCTAACGCCAAGGGAGTTTTAAACTCGGGCAAGGACCCCTCGCACTGTGCATCCAGTTTAGCTTGATTGTGGCGTTGTGTGTCAAGGACGCTCTCGGTCTGCATGTAGAACTCTACCAAACTGGAGTGGAGGCGTGTGAACTTCCCATAAACACTGTTCTGTGCTTCGGACCGGGATGTGGTGCGTACCAACCCACTCATTGGTAAATCTAAAAAAAAAGCTGGAATCCAATGATTCCTTTCTGCATACAATTTTTGAAACCACCGGTGATCAGATAAGTTGTATTTCTCCATCAGCAGCTGCCATTGCACTTCGTAGTCACCGGTAGAGGCTGTTTCGTTCCACACAATATCATTCAAACTCTTGCGAAACTCCTCATTGTTTGATAACTCAGGACTGACTTTTTCACTAACCTTCGTCATAATGTGCCACATGCAAAAACGATGCCGGCACCCTGGTAAAACCTGCTCCATAGCAATCTTCATAGCAGGGTCCTGATCGGTGACAGCACATAGAGGGGCCTTTCCCATTGCAAGGTTGAATCTTTCTAACAGCCAACTATACGATTCCACATCCTCTTTACTGAGCAACCCGACGGCAAAAGTGATGCATCGTTTGTGGTTGTCTACTCCAGTAAATGGGACGAACACCAAGTTGTGCCTGCATTTAGAAGGCAATGCGAACAAATAAAGATGTAAAGTCCATCAGTATGGGGGTTAACCGTGGATTATTACTCAGTAGGTAATGTAGGATAAGCATTATATGGACAAACTTACTGCAGAAATATTAAACTAAAGTAAAGGAAAAAAAATTAAAAACCCATTGCTATGCTATTGAAATGTAATATGTTGCACACCTGTTCGTGCTGTACGTGGCATCAAACGAAATCACGTCACCGTAACAAGAAAAACTCCGCCTACCAATAGGGTCGGCCCAAAAGAGCCGTGCGATGCGGTTCTCTTCGTCAAGGTGGTAATCGAAAAAGAAACTATCACAGGCTTCACGCTTGGTTTTGAACCTTTCGATAATCATCTCACCATCAGCCACATCGACATACATTTGCAAGTCCCGTTTAAAATTATGAAATTCCACATATGTTGCACCAACGTTCTCAAAAGAACCTGCTACTTCCCTGCATAATCTGTACCCTGTAGAAGGGCCCACATTAACTTTAAGACAATCTGCTAAAAATGCCTGTTGGGCTACATTAAGTTTCCGGTTACCCCGCATAAATAATTTAGCACCCTCAGAGCATAAACTATGGTTGTGGTCCTCGACAAATTTAGACACCACAAACTCCCCAGTACTCTTTTTCTTCAACCCAAGCTTTGCATTGCACCCGACTCTGTTAGAAACCCTTCTCCGTCGTTGCTTATTGCTACTACTAGTACCACGGACGTCTAAGGTGGGTTTCCTCCCACCTCCTCCTTTGGCTCCTTGTCTGCTGCATACTAAAGAACGTCGGATAACATCCCCGCTACGATCTCGCTTAACACTGCTGTGCCTGACGTCAAAACCATTAGCTCGCCCGTAGATCTTGTAGAATTCAACCCCTTCGTATACTGATTTAAAACACTGCCCGAGTACAGGTATGATTGTAGTGTCCACGTTGGGTTTCCAGTGTTGGTTGAGGGTGTTGGTTTTCCCCGGCGTGTAGTGCGTCGCATCTCTAGTACCGAAATCACCGTCAATTGACCCTGTAGTAGTCACAACCAACTTTAACTCCAGGATTCTAATAATTCTATAAATATATAAACGGGATAACAATTCAAATTTAGCATTATATTTATTTTACAACTTAACTACAAAAATATCTTAATTTCATATTTCAATTTATTCTGTAGAATATATTCATATTATAAAATAGAATTGTAGAGGTACTGCTAGGGGGATGCATTCCAATTCAATGCAATGCATTAGTAGGATTATTAAACCACACTGTTGCATTAGTCTAATTATTAACAACTCATTGACTGATGAATACCCAGTGTTGCACAGCCACGTTAACACAATGTGCATCAATGCAGCGATGCATACCTAATGAACAGGATCCCAGGCTTACGCCACAGTGCAGATTGGGGGAATTAGAGATTATGGTCTCTGGGCGTTCAACTGGGGGTATTGGAGCAGGAACAAAAAAATCCCAAAACATTACCACTCAGAATGGTGGCGGGGAGAGGATTCGGGTTTTGTTTGGATGCCAGTGACGGTGCATTCCCATCAATGGCGGGTGGGTAGGGGGTAAAAAACGCCGCAATGCGATCGTACAGCAACACATCAAAAGAGAACAAGGGGGTGGGGAGAATACCTGTCACACCGTGCTCAACCGCACCAGCCGTCGGGTGTCCATCACCGTGCGCGTCCATCGTCACCACGTATCCAGCGTTGTCCGGAATCTCAGCGTTGTTGGTATCGGGATTCTCGGCAGTGTTAATATCAGAATTCAAGATCGTTTGTCCGGAACTCTAAGCGGTGTTGGTGGCGGGATTCTATGTGTAAGAGTCGTAGTTGGAGTCGACTTCACTAATAAGTAACCAATATTACATATTTGCATGGCTTGTCATCATGCGTGCAAGTGCAATGTAACGGGGTGGACGCTCATCGTGGGCTTTAGGATGTACATAATCAACGCTCCAGATGAGTGCACAGGTTCACACATAAATAAATGGTTTGCACCAGAAAACCACCCTATATATATATATATATATATATATATATATATATATATATATATATATATATATATATATATATATATTCAGTGAAATTATATAACATGCACCGTTAATAATATTAAAATGTTATTATTTTTAAAATTTGGAGCATATAAATTACACATAATATTATTATACAACATAATGTTATATAATTTCACTGAATATATATATATATATATATATATATATATATATATATATATATATATATATATATGATAATAGAAAATTCTTGTTGATATTATATTGTATAATAATAATAATTTGGTGAAGAGAGAAGAAATTGAATAGTTGGTGCAAGTTGCATGCGTCATTATCGTATATGGCATGGATTATTGTGTCATGCATTTCGCATGCTTTTCACGTCACTCAACCCTATTAGTTGCTATACATACACGACTTTACGCATTCAACGCTTTTTAATTTCTTCTCCGCCCGGTCCACAAAGAATATTCCACTACTAGAAAGATTCTTATTAGTTTTTTTTTTTCTCCCTCTTTTAATACTTTTCTACTATTTCTATTTGGGTGAAAAGCAAAATAATAATAATAATAATGGTTTTAAAAAAAAAATGATAACAAATAGATAAAAATAATGGTTACACGATCGAGGCTGATAATGGGTATTAACTCTTTGGTCTTCAAAATTCAACAGTTTGAGAAATAAATGATAGAAATAAGACTAAGATAGTGCTATTTTATATTTTTATGATATTTTATAATTATTTTTTTAAAGACGAGATGGTGCGTGTTACACACATGAGGGTGATCGCCAACTAGAGACCACCTTTGAGGTTTTTTTTTTTTTTTTTTTTTTTAATAAATATTTCTTAAATAGCTTGCCAAAAATTCATTTTGTTTTTTAGAGCATAATTATAAATTGACCTAATACCGTAGATTGTGACCCCACTCATTAAATTATATACGCAAAACCGTTGATTTACCCTAATCCTATTAATTAATTAATTTTGACAAAATAATTTATTATGTGCATGCATTAGGGCAGTACTAAGTTTGCCAACGGTAAACACAAAATTTAAGTGTATTAAATAACATTATCGTCAACGTGTGATAACAAAGTGTGTATGCAAATATTTGCTTTTGATATAATGGTAAATAGAATTTTAATAATTAGACAATTTAAATGATTGGGTCTTAAAATTTAATGCTATCATCAACTCAACTTATAAAATTTACCAAATCACCCAATTGCCACATTCAATTATCATACAACCTCGTGGTCTAAAAAAAATAAAAAAAAAAATATCATGCAACCTGCCTAAATGGGAAACCCAACTCATAATAATTTAAACATGTAACTTCTTTAATTAAACCAACTCATAATAATTTAAACTTGTAACTTCTTTAATTAATTAAAGTCTAATAATGAATATTTTTTTGGGAAATAAAGTATAATAATAAATATAATTGACCCATTTATTAGAATTACGAATGTCAGAAGAAAACACGCAGAGGGAAAGGGAGGTGTCTTATTAAAGAGGAAGAAAATCTCCACCTTAGATTATAAGAACCATAAATGGTTTATTTTTAATAGGTTGAATATATTTTTGAAAAAATATTATTGTTTAAAATATTTTAATGGGATATTTAAATAATATCTATATTAATATATATTTTTAACATATTATTTTAATAATTTGTGATGAACTTGTAGTAATGATTTTATGAACCTATTTTAGTAAATTAATGTACTTACAATTGTGACTTTATAAACCAAGAGCAATGTAGACTGTAGTGATTATGTTTTTAAAGCAATGACTTTATGTATATGTAGATTTATTATTTTTTAAAAAATATCAATATATGTTTCATTTAAAAGATATCAATTAAAATATTTTAATGATATATATATATATATATATATATATATATATATATATATATATATATATATATATATATATATATATATTATACATTAATTTTATTTGTACAAATATAAAAAGAGAAAAATAAATTTAAGGAGAAAATGTCAGAATGCCTTGCTACATGCACCCTGATCCATGATATAGCTATAATTTTGTTGAATTCAAACTTTTCATGTTTAGTTTAATTCCAATAACAAAATATATTTATGACATCCATAACTTGGTATGGGTCAAATAATGTTTTTAATTGTATTAACATAAAAGCCCAAGCAAGTTTACAAGCCCAAGAGGCTGGCCCAAACTTGTGAAATCGAAGAATTATACCGTGAACTAGGGTCTACCTGTGTAGACTCTGATCTAAAATGATATTCAAATTATGTGTTTGCAGTTAACATATTATGTGTCTGTAGTTAACATATTATATGCATGTAAATAAATTGAAGACATATAATATGTTAACTACAAATACATAATAGGTTAACCATAGACACATAATATATTAACTGTACAAATTAATCAGTTGTGTATTTAATGTAATTTGTCTATTTCATTCATTAATTATATACAAATTCCAATTAATTGTATCCAATCTTATATGTATACTAGCATTTTGTACGCGCGATGCGCGAAAACTTATGCCCAATATTAAAATATTTGTAAGTAACAAAATTTAAAAAAATTAGTTAAAATTATGTTTTGCAATTTCTTAAAGTGATGATACTTTTGAATTATCATATTTTTGAATAATATAGTAATCAAAACAAAAATAATAATAATAAATTATATTTTTATATAATAATAATTTACAAATAATACTAAGCTAAGACTCACATATATGATATATTGATATGGATACACAAATAATATATATATATATATATATATATATATATATATATATATATATGATACACATATATAATTTAACATTCATATAAATATTTAATTAAAATATAATTTATAATTAAATTAATTGTTATATGATAATTTTAATAAAATGATAATTAAAAATAGGAAAAAGATATGATAGATGTAGGTGTATGGTAAGATTGGTAGATATATTAAAAACTAACGGTGGTATAACGGTGTAAGGGTGATTTTGTCCAATGTAAATGAATGTACAACAATTAAAGCAAAATGTATATATTTATTAGCATATAAAAAAGGGACAAAAATCAAGGACATAACTTGTATTGACACTTATTAAGTTGGCATTTTTAATAAATTTTAAATCATTTTTAATAAATTTTAATAATAAATTTTTATTTAAAAAAAATTTTAAAAAATAAAAATGACTTTATTTAATTTTTTATTTAATTTTTTTTTCAATTTTTTATAAAATTTATTATTAAAAATTATTAAAAATGCCAACTCAGCTGCCACGTAAGCAGGTAACCTGCTAAAATTGATGGGTAACTTGCTATCCGGTGAAATTGCATACGTTTGGAGAGTTCAGTGGCCTAATTGCACGTTTTTGAAGTGTTCAGTGGCCTAATTGCACTTTTTGTTCGTTCAGTGGCCTAATTGCATTTTCAGGTTACGTTCAGTGGCCAATTTGAACCTTATTCCTTAAGTTTTTAGATTAATAATTCTTACCATAATAATAATAATAATATTTGTGATCTTTAGTCCGTGCATCACACGGGTATAATGTTAGTTTTAACTAAAGGACTGAAGCTATAAAAATCAACAACAATAAAGACAAAAAATTGGAATTAACACGAAGAGTTCAAGTGCCATGCATTAAGTACAATCTAGATTCTAGAGAATTATAAATTTAAACGTATATTGCCATTTGTTTTATTTCAATCTAACCTGCTATTAAATGTCAAATGAGATAAAACGAATAATATCAATAGACCACAAGATATTTTCCATACTTGGAAAAGAGTATATCTTCTAAAATTTAATTCTGTTGATTTAATTTCAATCATAGTATCATATTTAATGACGAAGTGAAATTGTTTCAAATAAAAAACACAGCTTGCACCAGCCGGGAATCGAACCCGGGTCTGTACCGTAGCAGGGTACTATTCTACCACTAGACCACTGGTGCTTTGTTGAGAGGTGGTTTCTACAAAAATAGTAAATAGTATCGACGAGGTCCAACTTACATTCCTAGTCATAAACAACATTAATTAATTATTAATTAAAAATAATAATAACAACAACAAAATTGTTTTGTTTAAATTAGCAGTCTCTCTCTGTCTTTTTCTTTTTTTTTTTTTTTTTTTTTTTTTTTTTTTTTTTTTTAATTCTTCTGTTTGGTCAATATTCATCTTTGTAGCATCTCTCTCACACACACATATATATGAAGAGTTGGTATTGTAAGTTAAACATAACAAATAATCACATGAAGATGGTAGTTTTTTATGATTTATCTATCCCGCTCTCTTAAAAAAAAAAATACTAAACGTTACATGTGTTAATTTTTTTGGTATCATTTGACATAGCTGCGCTAATTCTTTGGCTGCCTAACAAAATAGTATAAAACCTTTGTTAACAAGTAGTAATATTTTTTACTAAGACTATGTGGTCTAATGGTACCTGGGTTGGACTTCCATTTGGAAGGTTACGAGTTCAAGTCTCAATGGATGCGTTATTGGTTCTTTGTGCCAGTTACATTCAAAAAAAAAAAAAGGTAGTCGCATTTTTTATTATTTGATAATTCCCTAATTCGAGGTAAAACTCTTGTCACATATCATAATTTTATTGATGGAGAAAATAAGAAAGAGTAAATTGTGATCTAATTTTTGTTTGAACCAATTAGAGAATGCCGCATAAACTGATATAAATAAAATTGTGTAAACGAAAGTATGAATAGTACGTATCACTCTCCTCTATCCTGTACACCTATCAATAATCGATAAATTTGTAAAAGAAGATTGTCAAACTATATATAAAACGATAAAATTATGACAACCATCTTTCATAGCTGAACCATTATCTAATGGCGCATACTATAAGCCAAAACCACTACACAAAGCATGAAATATGTGTAAGCATCAGCCAGGAATCCATACTTACCTATATAAACATATACAGATAAAGAAACTAAACTGCACTAAAGGAACACTTTCCCAGTTTTCTCAAAATTCCTACCAGATTTGAATGTGGATGGCTCTGCATCAACCAGCATGTTCACTACCTCCTTCATGCTTGGCCTTAGATTTGGGAGCTTTGTGGTGCAGAGTGTTGCAATCCTCAGCACTTTGATCATGTCATCCTGGACAACATCCTTAACAGCAACCTTAGTGTCGAGAACTTTGATGACATTTTCGCGGTTTTCCAGCTGAGTTGCAACCCAGTAAACTATGTCCTTCCCTTCTCCATACGCATCCTCTATCGCGTGTCGCCCGGTCACCAGCTCCAGTAACACCACCCCGAAACTGTACACATCGCTCTTCTCGCTCACTCTTAGTGTATATGCCATCTCTGAAGATAGACACACAGAAGTTCAGTCCGATACTGGTGTTAAGAGTCCACATTGATAAAATAAGAGAGAACATATGAGTTTATAAGGCTATGGGTTAGACTAACTAATTTGTTAGATTCAGTTTTTTAGTGTGGTTTGACCCATGTGCATTATAATTCAGTTGAGTGACCACAGTTTACCTGGAGCCATGTAACCGTGAGTGCCTGCGAAGCAACTGAACTCTGATCCTCTTGGGGAAACTTCTGAGATCTTTGCAACACCAAAGTCAGAAACTTTTGGTTCATAGCTCTCGTCGAGAAGAATGTTGGTCGATTTGATGTCTCTGTGGATGATAGGCGGGGAACAATCGTGGTGCAGATACGCAATTCCTTTAGCAGCCCCGAGAGCGATTTTGTACCTAAGATCCCAGTCCAGTTCTGGTTTACCACTTTTGATTTCATGGTGAAGTGCCTGGAAAAGATTGCCATTTGGCATGTACTCAAAAACCAAGAAATTTGAGCCTTCCTTGATGAGACTGGCATAAAGTTTGACTATATTTCTGTGTCTGATACTCCCCAGAATTTCCATTTCTCTACTCAGAAGTTTAACTCCATTTCCCTTCCAGAGCTTCTTTATAGCCACTGTGCCACACCCTTTCTTTAACTCCAGTTTATACACTTTCCCTGTCCCTCCACTGCCAATCAAACTATCCTCATCCAAATTGCATATTTCGTCTCCATCAAACTCGATTTGGTGGAAGCTCTCGAGCTTCCATTTTCGATCCAGCCCCTTTGATTCTCCACAACGTTTCTCAGTATCGGTCTCGTTATACTTATGGTGGCTCCAATAACTCGCAACCAGTAAGCCACACAAGAGAACAGCCAAGGAAAGTAGAACAGTTAAGAGAACAGCCCATCTTTTCTTCATCGTTTCGTGGTGAGAGCCCTTTCGATCACAAGCACTTAGCTCGGTGTTGAATTGGGCTTTGATGGTGTGATCAACACAGAGTTCTTTGTTCCCGAGAAACGCCTTATCTCCATGCATTGTAAGAAAATCATTTGACACTTCCCCGGAGAGCTGATTGTTAGACAGATCGATTAACGAGAGCTTCAGATTGTCTAAGGCTCTCGGGATTAAGCCTGTTAACTCGTTGCTAGAAAGATTCAGGGAATTCAGAGAGGCCATTGTGGTTATGGAATCGGGAATGCTACCACTTAGATGATTCGAAGCAAGATTTAAGTCTGCTAGCCTTGAACATTGACCAAACTCTGCTGGAATTGAGCCTGTAAACGAGTTTTTCTCGAGATGCAAGGATGATATTTGGTTTAACAACCCGAGTTGAGATGGCAATGGTCCCGAGAAATCGTTGTTATCCAAGTAAAGCCTCTGGAGTAGTGTGAGTTTGCCAAGTTCTTTCGGGAGCTCACCCGAGAACTTGTTGTTTGACAATATTAATTGTTCCAAGGTTGTAGCAGCTCCAATTCTTGTAGAAATACCTCCAACAAAATTATTATAACTGAAATCCATCATGTTTAGGCTTGGAAGTGCCCACACCCCATCCGGGATTTTCCCGGAGAGTTGATTCTTTGTGACCCGAAGCCTCTCTAAGCCCTTACAGGAACCATAAGTGTCTGGAAATTCCCCAGAAAACCTGTTTTCTACTGCAACCAATTGCTGCAAGTTTCCATTCTGACATAAGTATTTCGGGAACGAGCCAGAAAACTTATTCTCTGACAAGTCTATGGCATTCAATGGCGAAAACCTGCCAAGATTTTCTGGAATTTCTCCAGTAAAGCTGTTCATGTAGACAGAAAAGGCGAAAAGATGCTCCATATCTCCAAAACCGGGAGGGAGTTCTCCCGAGAAGTTGTTCTTGAACACATGAAAAACGGATAAAAATCTCAGCTTTCCAATCCCTGGAGGGAGAGCCCCATGCAATTTGTTGTTAGAAACATCAAACTGCTGCAGAAGAGTGAGCTTCTCGATTTCCAGAGGGAGTTCCCCAGTGAGATTGTTTTCGTAGAGCTCAATTTGCAGGAGACTTCTCATCTTCCCAATCAACTTCGGGATATTTCCTGAAACCTGATTCCTGCAAATATCCAATGTCTGCAGTTTCTCTAGTCCAAAAATGGAGTCTGGGATTTCGCCACTCAAATTCGAACCAGCTAGATAAAGCCAGGTCAAGTTCTTCAAATTTCCCAGGCTCTCAGGAATCTTTCCCTCATTGTAGCTGTTATCCCCAAGGCCTAGTCCAACCAAACCACTCAGATTTCCAGTCCAAGCTGGAAAATCTCCAGAAAAGTAGTTGAAGGACAAATCAAGAATCTCCAAGCCAGTCAGCTTGGATAAATCAGGTATGGTGCCACTCAAGCTATTCCATGTCACATTCAAGACTCTAAGACTGGTAAAATTGGCTAATTCGCCCGGGAGAGCCCCAGACAACGAGTTCGAAGGTAGCACTATAGAATCAAGGCTCTTAAGCAAAAAGATAGATGGAGATATCACCCCCGAAAGGTTCTTGGAATCCAGGGAAATTTCTGTAACCAAACCAGTGTTTCGATCACAAGTAATTCCATAAAACCGACAGGGAGATTCTGCATCTTTCCAAGACTCCAAGTAATTCAGAGGATCAATAAGCTGCCTTTTGAATTCAAGAAGGGCCCGAGTCTCGAGTGAACTGGACCTGGACAGAACGAAAAACAGAAACAGAAACACGAAAATGGAAAGAATCGTGTTCCTGGCCATCGTGCAAGCTGGGCGGGGGGAAAATGGTTATATCTCAGACGGGGAAAACGAATTCAAAACCGAACAGGGACTCCATTATTGCATTAACTGAAACAGGAAGATCAGCAACCACAAACCAATCAATAAAGTAAAGAATATAGTATTTGTGAAAATGAACAGATCTTTCTGGTAAACCCAAGTCTACTTTTTTAATGATCCTATGAAAGCAATCTATACCTAATCAAATAATTGTCACATTTGTTAACCAATTTTGAATAGAAAAAATGAAGCACTTAGGCACTTAGGCTTAGCTGTTTATGTAATGAAAAAGAAACAGAAATTACTTACAAACACAAACAGACAAGAGACTGTTTAAGATGCCTTTTTGGCTTTATTTCTTGATTCAGGGTGAGACTATATCACAAAAACAATCTCACTTTAAACCAACTCATCAAATGCATCATTTCACCTACCCTTCACAAAAGTTACTTCCTTTTCCTTTTCTTTTTAAGTAAAACATGAAAACAAAGAGTAAATACAAGGGATAAACTAGCCAGATGGATCTTGTTCTTCAGACTTCAGAGCACTCTCCACACAGTGGTAAAAGTAAAAAAGCAAAGAACTTTACTATGCATCATATGGTGAAATTTAAAGAACCAGATTCATTCTTCCCCACACCCAAACACCCCACAATGACAAAGAAAAACTGAAGAAATATTAAACAGGAAATAGAAAAAGTTACCTTTTTTTTCAAGAATTCAAGGTGTCAAGCAGCTTTTCTCCTTGTTTTCCTCAGTAGCAGGAGCCAATGGAACTGAAGGGCAAAATGAGAAACAAAAAGAGAAGTCCTAGCAGCTAGGAATAAGGAACTGAGAAGACTTGCAGAAATCTTGGAATATGGAGAAGAGAAACTTGTACACTCCAATCCCGAGGTTTAATTTGACCGTCCTACTTAAAACTTAAATAAAAGAGGTTAATCGTGAGATGTGTCTATAAAATTAAAACGTTTTCTAAGATAATCTTCTTGTTATATAGGGAAGAAAGGAAGATGTATGTTTCTTGAGGGTGTGAGAGTAAAAAGTGAGAGAGAGGAGGAAAGCAGTGCTACTAATCTTTATTCAAATGAGAATTGATTATAGAAAATGACAAGGGAAGAACAGATAAGGAATAAGGAATAAGAATTTTAATTAATTTAAAAATCGAATTAATTTACAAGTATTTATGTTACAAGGTTAGTTTGATGATCATTAAAATTGGGAAAGATGTGATGATTTTATATGGTGTGTTCAGTTGAGTACAATTATTATATGCAAGAAGGTGACAAAAAATGCTAGCTGTGACCTATGGAGAATTATGAATTGGGAACTATTGAGTCAGCTGCCAAAAAGGTGCACTCTTTGATAGAGACACACCTCATCTCTTTGGTTTTCACTGTTATGAATGCTATATATAGGTTTATACTTATACTATTTCACCTAAGAAATTAATAGTCAAGTTCAATAATTTTTATTTTTTGTTGGTACATATGATGAAGATGGCTTGATAGAATTCTAACTCAATTTGACTTAAGAGTGAGCATAAACTCTATTGTAATAGTTAGTGAGTAAAAATTTAACAAATTTTATGAATTGTTCAAGACCGACAAAGTTTGTAAGAGCGAGCAATCCCAAAAATGTATATTTAGGTTTAATTCCTACATGTGCGCGTTAGGCACACCTGCTGAGCAGGCGCGTAACAAGTCTTTAATATATATATATATATATATATATATATATATATATATATATATATATATATATTTACAAAGGAAGGTGGATACCTATGCCTACACTGAGGCTCGAAACTCAGACCTTTTCATATAAAGGAGCAATCCAATACTAGTGGACCACAAGCCACTTGATAACTCTTTAATATTTTAATTTTTGTTTTATTTTTCCTTCTCTCTATTTTATATGATTCTTCAAAAAATGTGAAAAATCAACATTGATGGGCGTGCTTTAAATTCATTATTGTTCTCTTAAAAAGAATTATTATTTTTTATTTTAAATTTAACAGAGGGTATCGAGTAATGTGTCACATTTATAATGGTAAATGAATTGAGATGAGTAGAGTAGTGGCTGTAGTGCAGTCCACTTGTGAATGCAATCAATCCTAAGATGTTGATTTTGAGTTGAAGAATTGAATTATAATCTCAAATAAATGACAAAGCTTTCAAGCCGACTTTTACTCCTCAGTGTTCACACTTCAAATCAAAAAGCATTATATGGAATTTATTTTTGTAATAACTTTTATTTGTTCCCACATTTAATCCTTCTAACAAATTCTTAAATGAAAAATAATCGAAATATGTCACATTTCCAATTCAAAATCATACTAGCTTGAACATTTTAATACTTTTGGAAAGAAAATATAAGGATTTGAATTAGAAAAATGATAAACTATAAATGTTTTCTTCCAGAAATTTGATCAACATGACTAACTAACAACTAACTACAAAATGTCTTGTACTACTTAATGTAACACAAATAATACTTAGAGACTAAATGTGAAAGTAATTTTATTATCAAAAGTGAAATCACTCATTTTGTATATGAAAAATATATGATGATAGTCAGAAAGGGTGGTTGAGTTGGTGGAGTATGATTCTCATACCAGAAAACTACACGTTCAATTCTTGTCAATTTAGTACGATTGATCTCTTTTGTGCGGTATACTTCCTTGAATAATGATTACAATTATCATTTTTCTTACCCGCATGGACAGCTCAGTTGGTCACAAGGAAAAGTTTAAGAACAATGACTGACGGTTGAGTCTCACCAGCAACAGTGTGGGAGCAACTTCTTAAAGTGGGGACTCAATGAGACTCTTAGGTGATTGAGGATTCTATCACCTTTTGGCCGGGAACAATAATTATAATTTTTCTCGTCACCAAAAAAAAAAAAAAAACCAAAACGATGATGGAGGGTAACCTTCTTTGTTCTTCATGACACAGTAATAAAAAGCATTCATACGATGTATATATGTAAATCATGTGATCAAGGTCGTTTTTTAAATGATTGTATATTTTTCAACGGTAAATCATGTGTCACACATTGCATGCATCTGCCAATGCAACTACTTTACATCATAAATATGTGCAAATAAATTATGATTATTTGAAGGATGATCACAGTAATTTTGGCTAAATATATATTCACAAATTTTGATTTTATACTTTATAATTTTACGAAAAGAAATAAAATAAATTAAAAGGATTATATGAAGGTATTAAAAGAAAGGAAAAAATTGTACAAGAGTTTGTTTGCCTTGCTTAAGTGCCAGCAAAGAGAGCAAAAAAAAAAAGTGTAATTTGTATAAAAGGATAGCTCGAGTATCAAATAAATTTTTTTATGGGAATGATTTTATAGATAACTCGAGTTATCCAGTTTGTTAGTTGTTATTCAAGATTATATTTTTTTAATGAGATTTAACAATGACATTATTAATCTAACAATTTTTATGTATTTAAAAAAAGAAAATGAAAAAGTAAATGATGACAAAAGTTGAAGAAACTATAGGAGGTGAAAAAATAAATAAATAAAATTAGTGTATGCAAATGGCTGGGGGCCGGGTAGATTCTCTAGAAGAAAAGGACATGCATATATATAATGGTGCAGGGGCCAAGGGGGTGATTGCACAATCTAGCTTTGGACCTACTAATATCAATTAGTGTATAGTGCTATTGACCTCAGTCAACCCTATTAATTGTCTGCTCCTCACTTCACTTTCACGTTGTTGCATATGATATGATGCGTCAAAATCGAGCTAATTTAACTTTACGAAACAAGTTTTAAATATGATTTTTTTATCCACTAAATTAATGTCTTGGTATATAAGATAAATATTTATTATTAAAATAAATGTAAATGATACTCTATATATGAAGTGAAACTTTCGGTCATATAGAGAAGAGAATAATAAAAATTGTGAATCACTTTTTTTTTTTTTTTCTGAATGAATAAAAATACACCACGTAAATATGAAGTAAATTAAAAAATAAAAGTAGTGCAGTATCACTCTTTTTTTTCTTAATGAAAGTATATATTTAGTCCTAAGAAATATATATATATATATATATATATATATATATATATATATATATATATATATAGACACACATTTTTAATTTCTTTCCTATCTATCTTATGCATACAAAGCTACAACGATTTGTACAAATTAATGAAAGTGTAAATTTTTTATTTTTTATTTTTTATTTTGAAAACAATGAAAGTGTAATTTAGTTTTGGACTTTTTAGATTCAAAATTAAAGTTTCATTAAATACGTATGTGACAGGACTATGTGGTCCAATGGTACCCAGGTTGGACTTCCATTTGGAAGGTTGTAAGTTCGAGCCTCAGTGGAGGCGTTATTAGCTCTTTGTGTTTCAGTAGGTTGAGAAAGTATATGAACAGATACTACAATGTAATAGAGCTAGTAGCATTCAAAAAAAAAAAAATACGTATGTGACATTTTGTTCCTAGCCAATTCAAAGAAGTTCTTTTTGGATTAAACACTAAAAACTAGTCATATCAACCATTTTGGTGAAACTTGTGATCCATCAAATATTATCATTCAATTTTATACGAATTGGGAAGCATCAACTTTTTCAATTATTTGGTTCTTAATGTATGTGTTTGTTTGCCGTTGACACCTCTAATATGTGACAATTATGTGGCTCTCTTTGATGGTATCTTACATGATCGAATGCTGGTGGTGGAGTAGTGACTTTAGATTACAATATATGAAAAAAGTATATTGAACAGATATATACTATCTTGTGCTCAGTTGGCATCTTTATGGCGGGGTTACAACAAATGGATATAGTATATTGAATATATTTTCGGTGGAATTGTATTTATTGCCTTGTTTGAGACATAAATAAAAACGTTTACAAATTTTATAATTAAACATAAAGTATACTCATGACATAGTAGAAATTTTATAAATTTAATAGTTAATAATTATCTTTCATTCTCATTTTGTAAACATAATACACCAATTAAATTGTCAATTTAATAATATAAAAGATTTTCTTTTTTTAAAAAAGATTGTATATACACACACACAAATTGTAGGCTTTAAACTTTAAACGGGAGACTCACAATATCTTGCATTATATTAGGAAGATTTTGTGCGACAAGCTCGATTGATGATATGGTATTGACAAGAATTAAATGTGTGACTTTTTTAGGGGCAAAAATTATGTTTCACCCACTCAGTCACTTCTTTGGACTTTTGGAGATAATGTAGTTTAATTTAGTTATTATATTGAAAGTGATGTTAATGGTAGTGTGTTTGACCAACAAGGAATTGTTGAAATTGGTGGAATCATGAGGAACTACTTGGGTGAGTAGATTTGTGGATTTAAGTTTGGAGTTGGGTTTGCAACAAGTCTTCTGAAAGAAATTTAAACTATTTATCATGGCATTTTTACTTCCATTTGCTTGAAATTTAGAAATTTAGACCAGTGTGACGTCATTACTCAATTGGTTAATTTGTATATTTAATTATCACGATAGTTTTTTTTTTAAAAAAAAAATTATCATAGAATTGACCAATAAATGAGAAATAATAATGAATATAACGAATTTAATAGGTACATAAGGCGATGAAAATTAAGATGTAATTTTTTTTAAAAAAAAAATATTTATTTTAAGCTAAAATATTGGTCTTTAAATGTTTTTTTTTTCAAAAAAAAAAAATAAAAAAGCATCTTGGATAGTTGAGTTGGTGACAAGACTAAACCTAGGTTGTTATGTGATTCCAAATGTGAAAAATGGCATTTTTGGATGGAATATAATTTCTGCCGACTAAGCTTCTCCAACAAGGTGAGGCTTCACCTTCTAGAATAGTGCCACTATATCACCAATTTTGTATTTTCATATTTTATTCTATTTTATCAAATATCTTGTTACTCCATTTTTAACTTATTCCTTGGAGATATTATACGTTTGCATTAAATTGACTTCATACTTATCTCCATTTTAATTTTTGTATGTATAATTATTAATGGAATTTTTTACACTCCAAATAGTACTCTATATATACTTATTTCACGTGATCTGCATTAATTGAAAAAATATATATA